CACCTCTTAATATTTGCATGACTTTGAGCAAGTTATTTCTCTGTTCATTTTTCTCATCTGTAAAATGAGGATAATAGCAAACCTATCTCATGGGATAATTAAGGTATAGGAAATAGATGTAGTTGTGTACGTGTGTGTGTGTAAGTAATAGTACATGGTACATAAGAGATCCCATGTAAGTGTTGGCTAGTATTTTTTTTTAAGTAGGCTCCACACCCAGCGTGGGGCTCAACCTCATGATTCTGAGATCAAGAGTCACACACTGTATGGACTCAGCCAGCCAGTTGCTCCTAAGTGTTGGCTATTATTAATGATATCCCCTTTTGTGTAATTCTTATGTCTCTTGCTCAGATTCTTCCCCTAGTTCCTGGGTCCCATCAGTTACAAAATCCTGTCTGTCCTTTCATAATACCTCTCTTATCCGTCCTTTCATTAGCATTACTAGTTTCACCATTATAGTTTAAAGTAAATTGGAACATAGGAAATTTAAGATATGTATAATAGGGAATATAAGGAAAGTTTGTGGTTTTTTTTTTATTTTTTTAAAGATTTTTATTTATTTGACAGAGCACAAGTAGGCAGAGTGGCAGGCAGAGGGAGAGGGAGAAGCAGGCTCTCCACTGAGCAGGGAGCCCGACGTGGGGCTTGATCCCAGGACCCTGGGATCATGACCTGAGTGGAAGGCAGCCGCCCAACCGGCTGAGCCACCTAGGCAGCCCTGTGGGGTTTTTTTTGTTTTGTTTTGTTTAAGAAATGTCCATGGTTTAGCCAATTACTAATACTGTTTCTAGACCCTTTAAAATAGAGGGAAGTACAATAATATGAGTTGGTATTACAGACTTTGTAGTCAAAGGTCTGGGCTTAAATCCTGGCTAATACTAAACTAAGAGATGCTGAACAAGTTAAATAATTTCTCTGAGCTTCAGAGCATTTATCTGTAAAGGTAGAAGAATAAGCATCTCAGAATTGTGATGATCAAATGTAAATTATAAACTGCTACATAAAGGTTGTGTGGTAAGGAATGGTGGTTTTAGATGTTTACAGTTTGTTGTTGGAACCTAGGAATGGTTGAAACGACTCATAAATTTGTAACTCCAGCCTACACCTCTCATTTGGGCTCCATACATGTATGTCCAGTTGCCTACCTGATGTCTCCTCTTGGGTATCTCACATATCTTGCATGTCCCCTTCAATCTTTTCTCTACAGAGCAGCATGAATATTCTTTTGGAAATATGAATGAAATCACATGTTCCTACTTGAAACCCTTTTGTTTTCCATTTCATTCAAATTCCTAATCATGGTCATGATACCATTTCATCTAGCCCTTGCTATCTCTCCAATCTCATGTTCTCCATTTTCTCCTTTTCCCATAACACTCCCACCTAGAAATTTCCTTCAATTCCTTGCTAATCTCTCTATTCTCTGGCATTGGCACATGTTGTGCCCTTGCCTGAACCACCTTCCTACCATTTCTCATGGCTGGTTCCTCAGTCTTCATGTCTCAAAGTTCTAACTACCCGATTTTTAAGTAGGTCTCTCTCCTACCTCTCTGCTGCCCTGCCCCCTCCCCCACAGAGTACCCACAGTTACTGCCTATTGTTGTGCCCACTGTTTCCTCCATAATACTAAGTTTAAGTTACATGTATATTTGTTTGACATTTGTTTTCTTATTAACTAACATCCCCACCATCACATGGTAAACTCCAAGAGGCAAGAACTATGTGTTTTGTCCACCACTGAAGTTGCAGCATCTGTTTCAGTGCCTGAGGTGAATGAATGAATGGATGAATGAATACATGAAAGGTAAAACATGCTAGAAAGAAGATTTTTAGGATTATCTTTATATCCTAGATTATGAATGCAGGTGGCAGATTATAATCCTATCAAAGCATTAGCCTTAATAATGTGTTTTAAAGTACAAAAGGGAGATAAACTGAAATCAAAAAGTGAAATATGATAACTCTTAATAACCAAGAGTGTGGAGGAAGAGCTAAAGAATGCATACAAGATATCTTTAAGGGGTTTGATATTGAGTGCTGCCCAATCACCTAAGGATCTCATTAAAACAAAAATTCTAATTCAGTTAGTCTGGGATGGGGCCTGAGATTCTGCATTTCTAACCAGCCTCCGGGAATGCTGCAAATTCCAGGACCGTACTTTGACAAACAAGGCACTGTAAAGTAGGGAAGGGAATTGCATGGTTGGGCAGCAAGGAATAGAGAAAAATATTAGGTTGGGATATATGAAATATCCATTTTTAATAGGTCCAAAACTGTTGAATATTGGCAATTAAAAAAAAATTTTAAGTTTGTATCCCATTAAATAAAAATCATTCAATAAAATGGAAAACAAATATTAAATAATTTCTCTGCATTCTGACGAATATTTATACCCTACTGAAATGGGAATGTGTAAATGAAATAACTATGGAGGTAACACTGACCTGCAATGGCAGGTGTGAAGACTTGCCGGAATAATGTGTGTGTTTAGGCATGTGCGCACACACGCATCGTTTGAAAAAGACTGGCTGGAATCACAGCCACCTAAAACATGCTATAATTTTATGATTTTTACAAATGTTAAAGTCTTCATGAACTGTTCTTGTGAATAAAAACTTACTGCCACCTGGTGGATTTGAGTTAAGAGTTAGAAGGGAAATATATATCTTTTTTATTCAGGTATCTTAAATACTATGATACTTCCTCTGTTAATTTTAACTTTAAAAAAGAAAATAAATATGTATTTACTAAAAAAATTACAATTAGAGGGACTTTTTGCATTTGGTTTTAACTGGAGATACGATAATATTTGTATTTAGATGCATTACATGGTATTAAAGTTACATTTTAACTTTATAATATGGCTTTTCGTTTCCACAACTTTTATCCTACTTAGAAACATATCCATCCATTTGTCAAAGAGAAGTTTAGGGGTTGAACCAGTATAGGTTATTATTTCTGTTACATGTGTGCAATACTATAAAAAAAGACCACCTTGTGCAACTCTCAACTTTCCCTCCCTTCATCCCAAGATGTATGTTACCCTTCTTAGCTATCTCAGAGGAAAGGGATCTTCCTGATCCTTTGCAAAGTTAGATCATTTGGTTTTACCTTACCTGGTTACTGTATTCAAATCTGTATTTAACTTTCCTCCCACTTCCTCATTGTCTGCCGCCTCTATGATTCCTCCCCCCACCCACCCCTAAGAGCAGCAGTCTTTTTTTTTTTTTTTTTAAAGATTTTAGACAGAGAGAGACACAGCGAGAGAGGGAACACAAGCAGGGGGAGTGGGAGAGGAAGAAGCAGGCTTCCCGCCGAGCAGGGAGCCCGATGCGGG